GACGAAGACTGTCCTGGGAAGAGGCAGAAACGTGGCGAACCGAGGTCGCGTGTTGAGCAGAAAGTAGACGTTTAAGGGATGAACGTTTCGCTGAGGAGCTGCCGCGCCGGTGTGGGCAGTGGAGCCGCGTCTCCTGCCGCAGGTAACGGTCTCAGAGGAGAGAAGTCAACTGGGGAAGAAACCGTGAAGCGGAAGGAACCAGCGCTCGATGACTCGGGAAGGAAGTCCTTAGCCCGTCCAGACGGTTAAAATTAGAAAGTTCACTGTTTAGCCCTGGCTGGTTTGGCTCAGCGGATGGAGCGTCAGACTGTGGACTGAAGGGTCCCGGGTTCAGTTCCGGTCAAGGGCACATGCCCGGGTTGCGGGCTTGGTCCCCAGTTGGGGGCGTGCAGGAGGCAGCCGATCAATGATTCTCTCTCATCATTGGTGTTTCCCTCTCTCTCCCCCTCTCCCTTCCTCTCTGAAATCAGTGAAGGTATATTTTTAAAAAGAAAAGAAAGTTCACTGTTTAGAAAGTGTGGTCCGAAAAGAACACCAAGGAGAACAGGATGGTGGAGGAACCTGCTGAGGAGGTTCGGTGGGGACCTGGGTGCCCCCGCGGTGGGGCGCGTCCACTCTCACCTGACCTTGGGGATCTGGTTATGTGCCTGCTTATTCGCTAGGTGCAAACGACGGTGTGGACCCCTGTGAATCACATGGGAGGCCGACGCGGCGTCTGAGAATGTTACACGAGCAGAAACCGCGCCAGCCTAGCCGGAGAGCAGCGCGCGATGGAGTGAAGGAAGAAGACCTTGGAGGGCAAAGCCATGAATGCAGGCAGAGACCTGGGGGGGGCGGGGGCTGAGGCTGCTGCAAGGCCCCCAAGAGGAGGGGCTACACGAACCAGGGAAGCAGCGTCCGGCCGCAAGAGGCTCTTCTCAGGCCTGGGGCTCGCGGGACTGGCACGGGGCTCGGGCTTGCTTGGGGAGTGGCCCGTCATCCCTCCATTGGCTCCCTTTGGACTGAGCTAAGACTCGGAGAGATGTTGAGATGAGGAGGGTGTATTTTAAACATGGGACCAAAGTGACTTTTGAGGGGGTCAGACAGAAGATGGGGGGTTGAACAGTGTTCCCCCAAACTCATGCCCACCTGGAGCGCTAGGATGCGACCTTGTTTGGAGAGGTCTCTGCAGGTGAGCTCAGCTGAGGTCACACGGCATCGGGGGCCCCTACGCCCAGCGGCTCGGTCCTTGTGAGGGGAGGACACGCTGATGAGGTGGAGGCCTTGGGCGGCGGGCAGCACAGCGAGGAGCCCGGGGTTCCACTGCTGTTGGAAGCCCCTGGCTTGTGGTACCTGGTGTGGTGCCCAGGTCACCGGTACCCGAGGCTGCTGTCAAGCATCTGAGGTCTGGAGGCAGCAGGGGCTCGGGTGCGGGGAAGCCCCGGGGCAGTATTGCCCCCAGCAGAGCCCGAACCTGGAGCCTGCCCGAGGCCAACCACGCTGGGTCCCCCTCCCCCGGAAAGCCCGGGTGTGTCAGGGAGGACTAAGGGGGAGGACGCAGGCTGGATGGGATGCCGTTAGGAAGTGAG